GGAGACACAAACTTTAAGACTAAAGCATCAAGACCACTTGATTCAAGCACAGTTGGATGATCTGGCGCCACTGTTTCGCTCTTGTTCCCCAGGCTGGATCGCAGTGGCGCCATCTCAGCTCACTGCAACCTCTCCCTCCCGGGTTCAAGCAATTCTCCTGCCTCAGCCTCCCAAGTAGCTGGGATTACAGGCACACGCCACCAGGCCCGGCCAATTTTTGTATTTTTGATAGAGATGGGGTTTCACCATGTTGGCCAGGCTGGTCTTGAACTCCTGGCCTCAGGTGATCCACCCACCTCGGCCTCCCAAAGTGCTGGGATTACAGGCATGAGCCACTGTGCCTGGCCGACTGGGGTTCTTTAAGAAAAAAGTGTACAAACTTATGAAACTTAGGCATGAAAGTTAATACTTATAATGACACAACAGTGTTGCAGGTTACCTTGAAGACTCAAGTTCTTTTCTCCTGAGGCCTCTTTGGGCCATTTGCCAGAAATGCCTTCTAGAATATATTCTGCTTGGGATGGCTCCTCTTCCCTCAAACCTTCTGCAGCTCCCAGACCCTCTGGGGTCCATGCAAATTGCGGGCCCTGAAGTTTATTTCACAAGCTTCATAGTGAACCCACCTCTGTGCATGACCTCAAAGCAAAGCATTCCTCGTGGAGCATGTGTGCTCCTCGATTTAACACCTGCCCTCCTTGCAGGGTGCTCTGAGCTGTACTAGGAGCTGTTTGGCTGGGCTGGAAGAAGCAGTGGTGACCCTAGAAGTAGGGCTGTGGGCCTCTCACCAAGGGTTTCCTGGAAGGTCAGGGCATCTGTCCAGAAAAGGGAGATGTGGATCAGAGAACTAGAGTGGTCTCTCTAGCGCCCCCTGCTGCCAGTGTTTAGGGTCTGCGTCCACACTGTCTTGTTTTCCCTTGATTGCTTCTTCACTCCCCGACTGCAGCCTCTGGCTCCGAGTGATGACTCCTTTTCTCCTTCTTTCCTGCTTTCCCATTTGTCTGCCCTTTTTCCCTTTCTTGGTTTTCCTTCTTCCTCTAAGAACTTGGGTCTGTACATGTTCCCCTCCCACACCTCTCTGCGAGCCAGGCCAGCCTGCAGGGGAAGGTGGGTAGAAAGAGCCTCCAGCATCCCCCACGCACTGTGCCTATAAACAGCCCCCACTCCAGCCTCCCTCTCTCCAGAATTGCCGTGTGCTGCTCTCTGTTCTCAATTTTAACATCCAGGGGAAGCAGCACTTCATGTTTCTTTACACTTTTTCAGTTGGCCCCTTTCACGTCTCTTCTTGCAAGTCGCCATCGCTTTTCAACCCTCCCTGCTTTGATTCCTTCATGCTTGCGTGTCATCTTCTCAAAGAGATCCTAAGCTCCTCCAGGACTCCCCTGGAATCAGTATCCCTGCTTCCTCCACTGCCAGCTCATACTTCGCATTCTAAGGAAAAACATATGCTCCATACATTTTATTTTCTAGTTTATGGAGCAGCAGGAGGAGAGAAAGGTCAACACACATAAGGGTTTTGAACAAACTTCACAAAAATACAGGCCAACTGGAGGCTGGGGAGGTGAATCCCTTCATACCACCTCCACCATCGGGAACCTTTTGTGTTATTGAATGAAATGCTTAACGCTGTCATCTGAATATATTGCTTGCAAATATTCACAGGCTTGTATTGCTTGCAATTATTCACAAATTACTTATATTACAAAAGGATCCCAAGGATCCACTTAAAAGTGGCATTTTCTCAAAGGGTTGTTTACAAATCATTAAATACCTTCCTACCAAAAACTGATGTTCCAAGCGATTGGTGATTGAGCTGCATTCACAAATCTGAAATGATTATGATTTTTTTTTTTTTTTTGAGATGGAGTTTCACTCTTGCTGCCCAGGCTGGAGTGCAATGGCATGATCTCTGCTCACTGCAACCTCCGCCTCCTGGGTTCAAGCGATTCTCCTGCCTCAGTCTCCCGAGTAGCTGGGATTACAGGTGCCTGCCACTATGCCCGGCTAATTTTTGTATTTTTAGTACAGATGGGATTTCACCATGTCGGTCAGGCTGGTGTTAAACTCCTGACCTCAGGGATCCACCCACCTCGGTCTCCTAAAGTGCTGGGATATAGGCGTGAGTCACTGCGCCCAGTCAATTATGATTTTCAACTGACTCTTTTTTTGTTCTGTATTTGTAGTTTTATTTTACCTGACAAGAAGCTAAACGATCACACTGTTCAGTTCAATGCTGGGCACTAGGAATCCATTTTTTCCCATTCATGGTGACTTTCTGTTTGTTAAAGAGTAACATAGAAAGAACGTGCCGGACGGTAGAAGACCAATTTAGTGAAATCAAAGCCAAGGATGAGCAACAGACACAGTTGATCCATGATCTGAACATGCAGAAAGCAAGACTACAGACCCAGAATGGTGAGAATGGGCAGGGCTCTGAGGTCCAGCCGGGCCATGGGAGAGGGTGGTCGGTAACACTGACGTGGGGGCCACATCTGTTTGGTAGGGGAGCTGAGCCACCAAGTGGAAGAGAAGGAATCTCTGATTTCACAGCTGACCAAAAGCAAGCAGGCCCTCACCCAGCAGCTGGAGGAGCTTAAGAGGCAAATGGAAGAAGAAACGAAGGTAAAGATATAGAGTCAGATTGAACCTGAGAAACCAGGCTGTATGACCACTTCACCTGTGAAGCTGGTCGGAGCAGTGCTACATCAAGAAACCTGCTGCGGCCGGGCACAGTGAGTGGCTCACGCCTGTAATCCCAGCACTTTGGGAGGCTGAGGCGGGTGGATCATGAGGTCAGGAGTTCAAGGCCAGCCTGGCCAAGATGGTGAAACCCCATCTCTACTAAAAATACAAAAAAAAAATTAGCTGGGCGTAGTGGCAGGTGCCTGTAATCCCAGCTACTCAGGAGGCTGAAGCAGAGAATTCCTTGAACCCGGGAGGCGGAGGGTGCAGTGAGCCGAGATCACGCCACTGCACTCCAGCCTAGAAGACAGAGCAAGACTCTGCTAAAAAAAAAAAAAAGAAAGAAAAGAAGAAACCTGTTGCTTCTCCTGTCTGCCTTGCAGCATGGTGTGATCCTGTCCTTTAAAGTTAGAGGACCTTGGCATTAGATTTCCTTCTTCAGGGATAGAAAACCATACCTATGGTGGTCCATGCCCTCTGTCCCCCACAGGGTAGTCTGAGAAACTCCCCTCTCCAGCCAGGGCACCTCCTCCCGATCACTGTACACACTTGACCATTCTGCCCAGCAACTCATTCCAGCCACTTGAAATCCCTTCCTGTTTCTTCTTCATTATTCCTGGTGTGTCACCTCCTATACCACCTGATTTTAAGCTACCCTCCTCCAAAAAGACTCCGTGGTTTTGGGAGCACCCTGGAGACAGTCGCATAAACATGAACATCATCGCCTTCTTGATTTCAAGATCTAGATACTATGTTTATAATATGTGTCTCCCCACAGATCTGTAAACTCATGGAGGGCAAGAATAGTTTGTCCTCACTGTACCTACTTGGCCCAGAAGAACAGTGCACACAGTAGGTGCTTGGTGCTGCCAATTCGTGTTCAAGTATCAGACTAGGGAACCAAGAGTCCACAAAACTGCATGAATGGAACTCCGAGGTTGCTGTACGCTGGCTAAGACTTATAGGGCAATCTTCTGGAATTTTCCCAAGCTCCACCTTTTTCTTCTGAAAAAGGACAAATGCCATATTTGTCTCCCATCTTTCTGTTCTATGGTGAAGATCTTCAGTAGATGAGGGGGGTCAGGGGGAAGTGGTGAGAACCCAAGCCTGAACAAGTACTGAGGAGGGCCACTGCAGGAGGAGCCGGCTGTCCTTTGGCCACGATACAGCAACAGCTGTTTTCCTTCTTAGGCAAAGTTTCCCATTTATTGCCTTTTTTTTTTGAGACGGAGTTTCACTCTTGTTGCCCAGGCTGGAGTGCAATGGCACGATCTTGGCTCACCACAACCTCTGCCTCCTGGGTTCAAGCGATTCTCCTGCCTCAGCCTCCCAAGTAGCTGGGATTACAGGCATGGGCCACCACGCCCGGCTAATTTTGTGTTTTTGGTAGTGACAGGGTTTCTCCGTGTTGGTCAGGCTGGTCTCAAACTCTTGACCTCAGGTGATCCGCCCGTCTCGGCCTTCCAAAGTGCTGGGATTACAGGCATGAGCCACCACGCCTGGCCTATTACGTTTTTAAAAAGTTGAAAATGTACAAATTACTAAAGTGGGTTGACAGAACTCTCTCTTTGATGGTGGCACCAGAGGGCGTCTTGTGGCCATTATAGTCGGAGCTAAACTGTTGCCCTTCCGTCCCTCCACATGGGAGGGAGTGAGGGACGGACGCCTCTAGGCATGTCTTCTCTGCCTAGGAGGAGGAAGTCGGGCGGTGGAAACAGCAAAGCTCACATCAGCAGTCCCCAGTGTGGGGACACAGCCCACTGGTGACATCAAAAGATGCTTTCAGGCTTCTCCTGGTCACAGCATTCCGTACCATTGCATCAAGTAGCGAGAAAATTCTTCCCTTTTTAATTGTTCCAAACCTTCTGATTATATCAAGGAAAAGGCCTCAGCATGAACCATACTTCCTTAGCATTTGCTTATTTACCCTATTAAGAAATAGAGCGTAGACCCCAGGCATGGAGTCCCAGCAGGCAACAGTACCTAGCTAGATGTGATAACATTGCTTTATTTCCATTGCACTTATGGTTACCTTCTGTTTATGGCAAATGTCAGTGGTTTTCCACTTACTGTCCTGTAACAGTTCACTCTTTTGTTAAATATATTTAAATATAATTAAGGAGCCCACTTGAAAAAATTAAATAAACCAGGCGATATGCTGATATGGCAAATTTGGTGAAAACAGCATAGGGATAATTCAAGCTGGGGAAAAGCTATTTAAATGAAAATACCTGAACTTGGAAAAGGGTCAGATGTTTTTGCAATTTGTCACCACTGTCATTCCCAGGCCAAGAACGCCCTGGCACACGCCCTGCAGTCCTCCCGCCACGACTGTGACCTGCTGCGGGAACAGTATGAGGAGGAACAGGAAGCCAAGGCCGAGCTGCAGAGGGCGCTGTCCAAGGCCAACAGTGAGGTTGCCCAGTGGAGGACCAAATACGAGACGGACGCCATTCAGCGCACAGAGGAGCTGGAGGAGGCCAAGTAGGGACTCCAGGGTGGCAATAGCAGGGGGAGCCTGAGGGCACAAGCCAAGGGACCAGGAGTCTTTGTATCTTGAGAGATTGTCTCTTTCCTGCCCATGCCTTTGTGGTTTCTGAAACATTCAGATTGTGCCCCTCATCCTCTGGGGGTCTCCCTGTCCTTCTTCTCGGGAACTGTCCATTCCCCCTAGCTCCCTGGGGGGCTCCTTAGGGACCTGCTTTGCCACCAAGCATTTTGAGACTCTCCTGGTGACACTTGGATCCTCTCCACTCACCAAATCCTAGGTCTTGGTGTCATCAAACATCAATCCCTTCCATGCTATTCATTTCCCTTCCCATCTGACAGTTACCTTCTGAAATATTCCACTTTTGCCAAGGGGGAAAAAAAAAATCTGGTTTTCATAGGAAAAAACTGGCCCAGAGGCTCCAGGAAGCAGAGGAGAACACGGAGACGGCGAACTCCAAGTGCGCATCCTTGGAGAAAACCAAGCAGAGGCTGCAGGGAGAGGTGGATGATCTGATGCTGGATCTGGAGCGCTCCCACACCGCCTGTGCCACCCTGGACAAGAAGCAGAGGAACTTTGACAAGGTCCTTCCCCAGCCACTTTCTCTGTGAAGAAGGCATGGGGATGATTCAAGTTGGGGAAATGCTATTTACATGAATATACCTGAATTTGGAAAAGGGTCAAATGTTTTACAGTGGCAGTGGTGAAAACAACAGTTTCACACTTAGATGTGTGAGATACCTGCACATCCTACAAGGCCCCCAGCTGGAGCATCATTTCCCAGTTTGGAGGACTTGAAGTGTCTCTTGACGACTGTGACAGTCCCTCCAAAGGCAATTTTGTTTTCAGTTAAAGCTAATTCAGTTCCATTGAGATCGTAATGTCTGTGAGAACGCAGCAGAGGGCCTGCAGGAATATCACAGTTTGGGGTCCCGGATCTAGAACAGTGCTCCTCCTCTTTCTTCAGTCCCTAAGGATGGAAGAGCAAAACGTTGGTGTTACTGACAGCCCTTGTTTGCAGGAACTCTTCTGAGTCACCCCTGCTTTTTGCTTCTCCTATGTCCCTTTGTCAATCTCCCAGGTCCTCGCAGAGTGGAAGCAAAAGCTGGATGAAAGCCAGGCTGAGTTGGAAGCTGCTCAGAAGGAGTCCAGGTCACTCAGCACCGAACTCTTCAAGATGAGGAACGCCTACGAGGAGGTGGTGGACCAGTTAGAGACACTGAGGCGGGAGAACAAAAATCTGCAAGGTGAGCTCTCTCCACCACCGGTGTGTGCTACGTCCCCGTCTCCTCCTGCCAACCCCTTCCCCATTTGGTCACAGCCATCTGCAGACGCCTTCTTCCCACTGCCCCACACAATCCTCAGCCATCATGCTTCACATTATTCAGTTTGCCCCAAGGTCCAAACCTTTTTAATGTAAGGAACAGCAGGAGCTAAGTCTCATTTTCAAGAACCGAAGGCACAATGGGTTGCTGAGCCTACTGCTCTGTTAGAGAAGACCCTTCAGTGATTCTGTCTCTAAGTGGCTCTGTATTCTTGGGTATGCCACTGAATCCCTTAGGACCTCAGACTTCCAATCTACAAAGTCTGAAGACCACACCCAGCACTTTCCAAAGCCCCTTCTGGTTCTGCAGACTATGATTCTACGCCTTTTCCCCACAATTGTTTTCTCTGGTCTGCTCTATGACCGTTTTGTATACAGTACTTTTGAAGTTTTAAGTTTCTATTCTTCACTTGTGGTTCCTGTCTGCCTAGTGCAGGTGAGGTAACACATCCCTGTCTTGCCAACACCTCATCCGAACAGCTACCCTGTATTCTCTCCTATATAAACGCCACGAATGAATCGCCCATCCCTGAATTGCCTGGCAAATGCCTATGCCATAAACTGGAGCCTGTTGAAACAGCCTAAATCGAGCCTGTCCTTTGCAGAAGAGATTTCCGACTTAACTGAGCAGATTGCAGAAACTGGCAAGAATCTTCAGGAAGTGGAAAAGACCAAGAAGCTAGTGGAGCAGGAAAAGTCAGATCTGCAGGTCGCCTTAGAAGAAGTGGAGGTAAGTGTCTGGGCTATGACATTCGGAAATTCTGGAGGACCAGGAACTGAGAGAGGCTGCCCGTCACCACCCCATGGGGCCCTTCCTGCCAGGAGGCCCTGAGTTTCCAATGGGAGAAACGTTCAGCCATCCCAGGGGCTGAAACAGCCACGGACTGCTACTTTATCTCCTGGGTGTCCTCTGGCACAGTTCCCCTTTTGAAAATAAATTAATGTGTTCATTATGTGTTCAATGTCTTCCTCTCAGGAAGCAGAAAATCAATCACCTAACATCCTGAGAGCAGTGCAGCATCTCTCAGTTATGTTTCCCACAGAGGCACAGACAATCATCTTTGGCTAGCAAGAATCCTGTACAATCAGAACGCACCCAGAGTCTCCTGATGCAGTAATCGGCGGGGGCCAGGATGACTGGTGGTTTCTAGGGAAATACGAACCAACACAGGATAACAGGAGAGCAATCGCCCTGTGATTTTGGAGAATAGGATGACTCTCGATTTATGGTTATTATTAAAATAGACACCCTCAGTAAAATTTTCACTAATTAAGAAGGATACTCTATCTCAAGTCATAAGAAATTTGTTCACGAGGGATGCAAAGTTTTAGTCCCAGTTTCATCACTATTAGGGATATTTGGGAGCAAGTCAAATACTCGGACCTCTCTGAGTATTGTTCTCTTCATCTATAAAATCAGTATAAGAATACCTACTTGCAGCCGGGCATGGTGGCTCACAACTGTAATCCTAGTACTTTGGGAGGACAAGGCAGGCAGATCACCTGGAAGGTCAGGAGTTCGAGACCAGCTTAGGCAACATGGTGAAATCCTGTCTTTAAAAATACAAAAATTAGCCAGGCACAGTGGCGGGCACCTGTAATCCCAACTACTCCAGAGGCTGAGGCAGGAGAATTGCTTGAACCCAGGGGGTGGAGGTCGCAGTAAGTCGAGATTGCGCCACTGCACTCCAGCCTGGGCAACAGAGACTCTGTCAAAAAAAAAAAAAAAAAAAGAAAACCTATTTGGGCTGGGCACCATGGCTCACACCACCTGTAATCCCAACACTTTAGGAGGCCAAGGAGGGAGGATCACTTGAGCCCAGGAGTTCAGGACCAGCCTGGGCAACATAGCCAGACTCTGTCTCTACCAAAAAAAATTTTTTTTTTAATTTAATTTTTTTAAAAAAAAGAACACCCATTTGATTGTATGGGGATGAAAATACCCATTCATGAAGGTGGCTGCCCACAGTACTCCCAGTCACTCCTTTGCTTTCGTCAGGGTTCCTTGGAACACGAGGAGAGCAAGATCTTGCGCGTCCAGCTAGAGCTAAGCCAGGTGAAATCCGAGCTAGACCGCAAGGTCATTGAGAAGGATGAAGAAATCGAGCAGCTAAAAAGAAACAGCCAGCGGGCAACGGAGGCCATGCAGAGCGTGCTGGATGCTGAAATCCGCAGCCGGAACGACGCCCTGAGAGTGAAGAAGAAGATGGAGGGAGATCTCAATGAGATGGAGATTCAGCTGGGCCACTCCAACCGCCAGGTGGCAGAGACCCAGAAGCACCTGCGCACGGTCCAGGGCCAGCTCAAGGTGAGCACGGTGGCCGCCTCTGCGTACCTGGACGGGCTGCAGCCTGCCGGGCAGCTCTGGCCTCACTCCGGGTCTCCCCTGCAGGACTCCCAGCTGCATCTGGACGACGCCCTGAGGAGCAATGAGGACCTCAAGGAGCAGCTGGCCATCGTGGAGCGCAGGAATGGCCTCCTGCTGGAGGAGCTGGAGGAAATGAAGGTGGCCCTGGAGCAAACCGAGCGGACCCGCAGGCTGTCGGAGCAGGAGCTGCTGGACGCCAGCGACCGCGTGCAGCTCCTGCACTCCCAGGTGCGTCGGCCCTCACTCCTCCGCTGAAAAGCCACCCTGGGGCAGGTAGCGCCTCCTGCACCCCTAGGTGCTTCCGCTATCCCTCGGCTCAGGGCCCACGCCGTGGGAAGGAGCACCCGGTTTCTCCCAGACTAGTGGTCAAGACCAATTTTCTTTAAGCTTGCTTCTTGGAATAACTGACTCTTGATTGACAGATTTCTGAGCTTTTTCTGATCCAAACATTAAACATCTTGCACGTTGTACGGAAATCAGAGCAGCGAAGGATTAATTACTGTGTAAGGCGCCTGGAAGTACTATTTAAGAGGAAACCTTAGAATATTAAGATTTTTTTTCAAAATAATTATTTTTGACCCGCCTCAGTGCCACACCTATAATCCCAGCACATTGGGAGGCCAAGGTGGGAGGTTCGCTTTAGCCCAGGAGTTGAGGCTGCAATGAACTATGATCTCACCGCTGCACTCTATCCAGCCTGGGCAACAGAGGGAGACCCTGCCGAAACAAACAACAACAACCACACACACACACACACACACACACAAAAACACAAAATAATTATTTTTATAAACGTTTTTAAAACTCCTTTGTTTAAAAAAATAGAAAAAACAAGCAAATACATGGAAGAAAAAAGTCAAGCATATTATTAACATTCTAGGGTCTCTCTTTCTTAGGCCCCTTGTGAATTATATAAATATTATGTTTTTGCCTCTAATCCCAGGACTTTGGGATTGTTTGATCTCAGGAGTTTGAGACCAGCGTGGGCAACATGGCAAAACTGTGTCTCTACAAAAAAAAAAAAAAAAAAAAAAAAAGTTTTAATTAAAAATAAATGCATATACATATAGTAAAAATATGAGCAATCTTTAGCAATCTCTTTTTTTCATTTAACAATCATGAACATATTTTGAGTTTTTTTCGTTTTTTTTGGTTTTTTTTTGAGACAGAGTCTCGTTCTGTCACCAGGCTGGAATGCAGTGGTGAGATCTCGGTTCACTGCAATCTCCACCTCCTGGGTTAAAGCGATTCTCCTGCCTCAGCCTCCTGAGGATTACAGGTGCACGTCAGCACACCCAACTAATTTTTGTATTTGTGTAGATACGGGGTTTCACCATGTTGGCCAGGATTGTCTTGATCTCCTGACTTCAGGTGATCCGCCAGCCTCAGCCTCCCAAAGTGCTGGGATTACAGGCGTGAGCCACTGTGCCCAGCCTCGACATCTTTAAATAGTGTTCTGTAATATGATTTTTAATGACAGAAAAGTAGGCTATTCTACCTGTATATTATTGCACTTCCATTTCATCAGTCTTCTGTGGTTATTTTAGATTGTTCTCAATAAAAATTTTACTTTTAGAAAGGCTGTTTTGATGAACTTCCTCATAACCAAATTTTCATATACTTCCGTGATTACTATCACTTAATATGTCTAGAAGTAAATAAATTTCTAAAAATGAAATTTCAGGTTCCAAACAGCAAAGATATTTGTAATATATTGTAAATTGTTCTTTAATAAGGTTGTCTCAATTTTTATTTCCTCTGGGAAAACGTGTGAGAGTTCTCTTCTATAAATTCTCGAATATTCTAGCTCTTATTTTATTTTATTTTATTTTTATTTTTATTTTTTTTTGAGACGGAGTCTCGCTCTGTAGCCCAGGCTGGAGTGCAGTGGCCGGATCTCAGCTCACTGCAAGCTCCGCCTCCCGGGTCCACGCCATTCTCCTGCCTCAGCCTCCCGAGTAGCTGGGACTACAGGCGCCCGCCACCTCACCCGGCTAGGTTTTTTTTTTGTATTTTTTAGTAGAGATGGGGTTTCACCGTGTTAGCCAGGATAGTCTCGATCTCCTGACCTCGTGATCCACCCGTCTCGGCCTCCCAAAGTGCTGGGATTACAGGCTTGAGCCACCGCGCCCGGCCTCTAGCTCTTATTTTAAAAATCTTCACCAATTTTATTGCCGAAGCATACCTCACTGACTTTTTAGTATGTTTTTATTGCTAATGAGGTGGAACATTTTATCACTTTTCTTGGCCATTTGTACTTCTTCTAGTATGTTTTACCCATTTGTACTTTTTGCCCTTTTTGTTAATTGATTTGCCTTATTTATATGTTAAGAAAGGGAATATTTTCTTCTGTAATATACATTGCAAATGTTTTTCAGTTTGTTATCACCCTTACAATTCTATTTATGGCATATCTTGATTATTTGAATTATTTTTCATTTTATATAGTATGTCTATCAATCATTTCCTTGCTCCAACACCTTTTACTGAATAATCTATCCATCCTCAAATATTTGAAATTCTACTTTTATCATTTACTCAATTCTTTGATGTACAATTCTTGGGTCTGTTAACTGAACAGAAGCAGGACTTTCTGTTCAGTTAAGAATAAAGAAAGATCCCAGTACTTGGGGGGCCAAGGTGGGTGGATCACAAGGTCAGGAGATTGAGACCATCCTGGCCAACACGGTGAAACCCCGTCTCTACTAAAAATACAAAAAATTAGCCGGGCATGGTGGCGGGCACCTGTGGTCCCAGCTACTCGGGAGGCTGAGGCAGGAGAATGGCGTGAACTTGGGAGGCAGAGCTTGCAATAAGCCGAGATCACACCACTGCACTCCAGCCTGGGCGGCAGAGCGAGACTCTGTCTCAAAAAAAAAAAAAAAAAAAAAAACCAGAATAAAGAAAGAAAGAAAGAATAATGTACAGTACTGTACCCAGCAGGTCACCCATGTGAAAAATAAGAAATGGAACAGGATCACGATTTACTTCCTTCCCCGCCCAACCCTCCCCCTTCCAATTTTTTTAAGTGCCCAGATAGAACCCACACCCCTGATATCTAATTCTTCTTGTAGAACACGAGCCTGATAAATACCAAGAAAAAACTGGAGGCTGACATAGCTCAGTGCCAGGCAGAAGTGGAGAACTCAATCCAGGAGTCCAGGAACGCAGAGGAGAAGGCCAAGAAGGCCATCACGGATGTGAGCTCTGTTCTTCCTTTTCAGAGACGGGGTTTGGAACTGAGAAAGGGGGGCCTCTGAGCCAGGGCGTGGCAAGTATGTTTCATCTCTTATGACCACAATCGGTTAGTGGTGGCTTCCCAGACAGATGGAATGAGGTACAGTCTCAGCAGCGGCAAAGTGGGAGGGGAGGCTGAGGAATCAGCAAAGACTGGCTGGAGTCAGACAGGGGAGGCTCAGCACCACGATCCCAACATTCTCCTCTTCTGCAAGCTCCAGGTAGGGATGGGCGGACGGGGCCTCTGATGTGTCCTGTGAACTTAACCAGGCCGCCATGATGGCTGAGGAGCTGAAGAAGGAGCAGGACACCAGCGCCCACCTGGAGCGGATGAAGAAGAACCTGGAGCAGACGGTGAAGGACCTGCAGCACCGTCTAGACGAGGCTGAGCAGCTGGCACTGAAGGGCGGGAAGAAGCAGATCCAGAAATTGGAGAACCGGGTAGAGTTTTTGAGAGGACTGTTACTCTGAAAGTGACAGCCTCAGACAGAGAACCACAGTCCAGAAATTGAGATGGTGGGAAAAGGCCATTGATTGAATAGATTGCAAATTCAGTTTCAGGACTGCTTGCAAAATTCCCTGTGAGCCTCATTTCTCACCTCTTTCTGTTTCATCTGTTCCTGTGCCCCAACACACACACATACACACACATACACACACACACACACACACATCTATTTTGGCATGCTCACACCTCAGTAAATGTAATATCATGATGTGTGTTAATGTTCACATTCCATTTGCTGTGTAGATTCAGATGCACACACATACATGGAAAAAGCTATGAACATATACTTTAAAATTACACATTTTGATGCATTTACATTTTGGACCAAGTTTCACTTTGATAAACACGGCCCATCCTACAGAAAATCTGCAGTTTCCGTTTTCCCCCAATCTCAGGTTTCCTTCCCTTCCCAGTTTTTCTCATCTCTCAGTGCAGGCTGCAGTTCTGGCACAGGTATGTCTCTTGCTCCAGCCCCCAAAGAGGGCGATCGGGGCTTCTTCCTTTAGGTTGATGCACCAGAAAAGCTCAACGCCCGACCCCAGGACATCCTGCTCTTTCTTTATCTGGGAGCGTATCCTGCAGTTATTGTTCCGTTTCTTTGCTGACTGTTCCCTTTGTTTCCTGTCCCCTTGCTTTTCCTTTTAGACCCATGTGGTTTATTTCAATCATGTTAAAATGGGCTGTACTAGCGGTTGACATTTTGGAGGAGGGCTCTGCGGAGGAGGCTGTTCGAGTGTCTCTTGTCCCAGGGAGACAGGAAATGAAAGAGTGGGAGGAAAGGAGGAGGAGGAGGGAAAGAGAAGGAGACAACTTTTCCCAGCAGGAAGGCCCCCAAATACTGTTATTCTTTATGCAAACCTGCAAACCACCGAGGATTTCCTCCCCAGGCACATTGTCCCATTAAATGTGAAAGGATTTTTTTAGGGGGGGGGTGCTAAAAACAAGGCCATAGACTTTTTGAATAACAAAAGTAAACACCAGGGAAGTTAGAACTTCCCCCCAAGTTCTTGAATGTTTATTTTCAATGGTCCCCAGTCCTATTCCATCACAATGAGTTTAGGCCTGTTCTTCTCATGGATCCCTCCTATGCGAAAAGGATTAGGTCTCATGACACCTTCTGCCATACTATGATTCCCGGATTGGCAGGGAGCCCTTGGCCACCCTCCCCCTCCCATGGTGAGGTGCCTTGACTGTCCTCCCATCCCCTGCCCAGTTATGTGACTTCCATAAACCTCACAGAAGCCTAGAAAGAATTCCTAGGAAAACAAATGTTTTGTAGAACCTGATGGAAGACTTTCCTGGGTCCAGGAGGTAGAGGGTGGGGAGGTTTGGGGAACAGTGCCCAGAGTAAGCCTGTCCCATTGATAGTTTTCAAGATTGATCTAGTGAGTCTCCAAGTCTGGAGTCGTCCCTGCTGTGCAGCCACTGTGATTCCCGGTGGAGTGGAGAATGCAGCTAGCTGCTGCCCCTCCTCGGCTTCAATCTCTGGATTGTGGAGTTGGGACCACAGTTGGTGACTTGCATCCTCAGTGGCTACCCTCTCCCCTCAAGACTTCGAGAAAGGCAGAAGCAACTATGAAATTAACAACACCTGTGTAGTGCTTTGTCATTCTAACCATACTTTCACATACTTTAATTCAATCTCCACATTTGAGGTAGGCTAGGCAGGAAATATTATCTCCATCCTAAATATACAGAAACTCATGCTCAGTGGTGGCAACTGACTTGCTTTGGATCTATCAAGTGGGCCTGGAGAATGCTTTGATTACTCCTAGCCCAGGTTCTCTTCGTGATCCCTGCTGCCTTACTTGATCTGTAATCAGGGCAACCATGAACAGCTGGGTAGGTTTCAACTGCAAGGACAGGTCAGGTTAGCTTTTGCTGCCTTTGCCAACTACCTGGCTCCACAAAAGGGTGCATCTGTGCAAAGCCTGACCCACCAGCTATGCTCTGTGCACCTGAGGCTGCCTCTGCCCAAGGAGGGCATCTTCTTCTCATTTGCTCAAAGCACCTGCATGGACTTGTGGTGACCTTGTCAGTAAAATATGGCTCCTGAGCCCTAGGAGGAGACATCTTGGCAAAAATCCCATTAGGGGATTTTTTTTTTTTTTAACTTTAATTTCTGGGATACATGTGCAGAACGTGCAGGTTTGTTACCTAGGTATAGACGTGCCATGTGGGTTTACTGCACCTATCAACCCATCATTTACATTAGGTATTACTTCTAACGCTATCCCTCCCCTAGCCCCCCGCCCCCCGACAGGTCCCGGTGTGTGATGTTCCCCTTACTGTGACCATGTGTTCTCTTTGTTCAACTCTCACTTATGAGTGAGAACATGCGGTGTTTGGTTTCCTGTTCCTGTGTTAGTTTGCTGAGAATCATGGTTTCCAGCTTCATCCATGTCCCTGCAAAGATCATGAACTCGTCCTTTTTTATGGCTGCATAGTATTCCATGATGTATATGTGCCATATTTTCTTTATCCAGTCTATCATTGATGGGCATTTGGGTTGGTTTCAAGACTTTGCTATTGTGAATAGTGCTGCAATAAACACATGTGTTCATGTGTCTTTATAGAACGATTTATAATCCTTTGGGAATGTATCCAATAATGGGATCGCTGGGCCAAATGGTATTCTAGTTCTACATCCTTGAGGAATCACTACACTGTCATCCACAATGGTTGAACTAATTTACACTCCCACCAACAGTATAAAAGTGTTCCTATTTCTCCACATCCTCACCAGCATCTGTTGTTTTCCTGACTTTTTAACAACCACTAGGGGATCTTGAGTTCACGCTAGAATGATTGGCCCATGAGTCCATGAGAGAAGCCTGGGAGAGACTTGAATTCTGTGTTCTTTTCATCCTACCCAGGTGCGGGAGCTGGAAAATGAGCTTGATGTGGAACAGAAGAGGGGAGCTGAAGCCCTGAAGGGAGCCCACAAGTACGAACGCAAAGTGAAGGAGATGACTTACCAGGTAGAGGTCCCAAAAACCTCCTCAGCGAATGCTGTATGGACCAAGCCTCATCAGAAGTGGCCATAGGTTTGCGGGCCCCTGCCACGTGTACCCTGTTTGCAGGCTGAGGAGGACCGCAAGAATATCCTCAGGCTCCAGGACCTGGTGGACAAGCTGCAGGCCAAAGTGAAGTCTTACAAGAGGCAGGCTGAGGAGGCGGTGAGCACAGGAGGTCCCCGGGAGTGCCCACAGACAGACAGTCCCTGGGGCAGCCTGGGTGTCCCCGCCATCCCCGAGTGGGAGCAGGTTCCTGGTTGGTAAAGTCCTCTGAGCCTCAGGCCTGAGTTTGCATTTGCAGGTTATAAACACAGAGACACCTGTCCTCTTCCTCTCTTGGTCCATGTTAAGTCTTCCCCACCTTCACCACCTCTGTGTCCTCTTGCCTCACCCTACTTGACCAACCCCCTTCATCCCCTTCATCCTGCCCACTGTGACTTACTTGACCCACCCCAGAGCATGTTAGCCTACCCTGGCTGGCACTGAATCACCCTGACTCTCTCAAACCACCCCAGTCTACCCTCCCAGCCCTTCCTGCTCCCATGACCTGACTTGAGGCACCTCATCCTAATTCCCACCATCCCACCACAGCCCACCCTCCTAGGCATCTCCAGCCTCTCTCAGCCCTCCCAACTCCCTCCACTCCATTCCATCCTTTGTGATCCGCCCTTTGATCAAATAGGTGAAATCAACAGGAAAGAAATGGAATGGGCTGAAATCCGTGTTTCCCAAAGTGTCTTCTGAGGACACTGGTTCTGAGGGATGTTAATAGCAGGAAGTTGGGCTGCCATGAGGAGGAGCTTATTATTTTACAGAAAAGAAATAGTTTGGGAAAATCTCAGTTAAACAAAGTTACACTGGTTGCTTTACTTCAAGGGTTTCTCAGATTGTGTAGACGTTGTAAAGTTTCATATGTCATCAACTCTACAAAGTGGAAGCGGGCTTCCAGAATATACCATTTCTCACACTTCATTGACTTTGGAACCTTCTTATTGTATGCAGAGCATCCCACAGGGCTACTGTTCTAAGGACCAAAATTTAGGGGAGCCTGCCCTGGACAAATGACTGAGTTTCTCCCATTGCTCTTTTTCCTCCCTTCCCTAGAGCCTGGTTGGTTCAATCCTAACCTCA